ATGACTAAGAAAATCATATTGTTTCAGATGTAGAAACACCCAAGAAAGTTCTAAGTGTGTCCACTGCTTAATTGGGAGGGAAAAAGAATAAAGAAGGAAGCACAGCAGAATTTGTCATCTTCTGATAACTCACTGGCACTTCAGTTTATTTTGAAGGTGCAGCTCTTAATGATTAGAGGGGCTTGGTGGGGAAATTATTCTTCAGGATCTGATTTCCAGACCAGAAGACTCTTCAGGCAACTATTAAACTGTTCCTTTCCTTTAAACATCAGAGAATCTAAGAAATTGTTTGCCAGTAGAGGTTGTTGGCACCTGGAAGTTTGAGATGGTGACCAAGTGAAAAGAACAAAGAAGGATTTTCACAAGGCAAATTAAATTTGGCCTTAACTGGATCCCAGCTCCCTTAGGCTGCTGCTTGTGATTCCCTACAAGGGAAAAAACTGCTCCAGAATAATAATCCAAGCTCCTCATTTACAATGTTGGCTTTCTCTCCCTATCTTTACACAATTCTTTCTGTGGGATGTTGGAATTGTTCAAGCAGAGTCACGCTGTTTCAGTTGCTATCAAAGGGTCTTCACTTCATGCCTCAGTCCATTTACTTCTATTCCTGTACTCTCCAGTATTTTTTGAAAAGGTGTTTTTCCAGTATTGCAGTTACTTTCATTATCTGTGGTTCTAAACTATACACAGCAATATTTGTCCTTAATCCTGGTTGGCTGACGATCTTTCTCTCTTTAAACTTGGCTTGCTTCAAGCAAAACCCCCACACTTCAGTGATTCCAAGAAGAAAGGAACATAACCACGAGGTTTCCCCAAAGACTTTGCATACAGCTGATTCACTTAACCTCAAAGATAATGAATTATGGAAAAATCTGGACTGCCTCCATGTATTCAACATTTTCTATACTAAAGCTGACTTTTTTTTTATCATCTCTGGCAGAGTGTGGAGGAGACATGTTCAGCCAGCCCAAGTGTTTGTGGAATGTGTAATACCACTTGTTTCGAGACTTGATTATTTTGTCTGACTTGTTTCTAGTGCCTTAGACTTTTGTGCTATTACAGGAAGGCGGAAAATTTCCTTTTTGGAGAGTAAATACTCCAAGGGGAAAAAACCAAACCAAAACAGAAAAACTAAAATAATCTTGTTAGCAGAAAAGAGCAATGATGCCTTTATTAAAGCTTTATTAAAGGAGTTGGGAGAAGTCATCCTAATAATTTAATGCCATAGGTTGCTTTGGAGCAATGGACAAGGTTCCTAGTGAGGAAAGATGATTCTCTCTTCTATCAGTTAACCTTTTCTACCAGAGAGACCCTCTTTTCTTCTTGTGGCACATAGTGACTTCAATCATATGTTGTCTCTGCCATGGTATATAAAAGCTGTAAAATAATGTTCTCCATCTTAGATGGGAATGGATACCAAAAGCATTGTACCTAATTTAAAATGTTTATTACAATTGCATTAACAAGCCCAAGTCTCTGATTTTTACTGTGCAACGTTCCTACTGTGTCAGCTGTTAGTAGCTGGTAGTTCATGGATTTGCTTTACCTCGTACTTTCCAATGGTTGCAGTTTCTATAATGCTGAATTTTTCTTTTGTTTTTAAACTAACCTAATTTGATATGGATTGTCTGAAAAGTGGCCCTGTGTGTAAAAGTGGCACCCTGTTTTACGTTTTTAAAACTTGCAAACACCCATCTTGGGAGTCATGCGTAATAAGATTTTCATGACCTCTTTTGTTAGAGAGTCATCCTCTTTCTTTCAGGCCTTTTGCATAGATGCACGTTTTTCATTATTACATTTCTGAATGCATTATGGTTCCTGTAGTGTGGCCCATTTTTGCAGACAGAGGGAAAGCAAGCTGAGATCTGTAATTCAGTGATCAGTGAGGGCACTGCTGGGCTTCATGGGGTTAAGGAACTGGCTGGTGTCCCTCACAGGCTGCTGCTGCACTCCATTGCAGCTGGATTTGTGGAGTTATTTTAGTGTATTTTGCTTAGTGTATGGTATGAATCATGCAGCAAAGGGTTTTGCTTTTATTACTGAAAAAAAAATTTCTGAATTAAAACTTGAACCCAAAAGAATTCAGAATGTTAAATTGATGTGGCAACCTGTGGATGCTGAGATTGACTCAGGCTCACATACCTGGGGAGCAGAAGGAGGAGCTGTGACATGGGACAGTGGCCGGCTCTGCACTTGGAGTGTCGGGCTCTGGGGGCTGTCTGCAGCTTTCCATCCTCTGCTCATTGTGAGTAATTCTGACCAGGTTTCAAATTGATACTCTGGTTCCTCCTTCACTTGTGTTGCCGTGCCAATTAGTTTCTGTCAGTTTGTTGCTTCTAAATTTGAGCAAGCAACTGCTGTGAAAACAACTATTCTAAAATGTCCTATAATTCTACTGTCTTGTAAGTGGGTACAGTAGTAACTACACTGTGCTGTGAAAAAACAACATTTTGATTACTGAAATAAAATCTACAAGGCATGTGTTCAAAGCTAGAGATATTTCCATGTCGTTATGATAATTTGAAAATTTCCAAGGAAGGAGAATGCAGTCTCCATACTAAGAACATCCATTACTGACACAGAGAGGTGAAAGTAGTTATAAATGCTTTAATTTTATGAAATATCTCAAAAATGTTTCTGTGATATAATTCTGACACTCTTGATGCTGCACTATAAGATGTGTAAACTCCTGACTAGTAATTCCAAGTCCTTCTTTACTGTGAAATTGGCTGTGATAGGTGATTGGTAAAGATAGTTAATACATATGTAATTAATATTTTTATTTAGGTAAGCATAAATTGCATTTGTTTTGGGGAGACACGAGAAAAAAACTGTCACTCATAACCACCTTAACACCAATTATGAAATTTTAGTTTTGCTAATTTTTTTTAATTAGTAGTTTTTATCTAATGTTTTTGACTTCTCTAGTATATTACCTTTTTAGACAATAAACATCACTTTTTTGTTAGGTATCAAAATGAAACAATTTTCCTGACACAATGAGAAAACTGTAAGGAATGTTTTTATCAATGTGTCAATCTTTCTGCTGTCAAATTGCAAAGAGGAGAAAGCTGCTGCAAGCTATTAACAGCCTGGTTCTACAGGAAAGTTAAATTCTGAATGAGAAATTTTCCTTGCTCTTATCCCAGATTAAGTGGGAGGAGGAATGCTTGAAAATGCTTATTTTCAATTCTGTGTCACTGTGTGTGGAGTAGCTACTCTAAGAGAAAACCAGACTGCCAACTCTTTTAGCAGTCTGAGAGCTGAATTTCTTCCCTGGAAATCAGAATCATATCAGAGGGATGGATAAAGAAATTATGCTGAATGTAGGGCATCAGCCATACTATCTATGGCATTAAATTAAGTCACTGGATTTATCAATTGGTGGGTATTTGTGTCAAATGTATAGAGAGATGAGTTTCTGGTATGCTTCAGAAGATGACCTGTGATTTCAGATGACCAAAAAAAAGTTACTGTTCAGGCTTTTTTAGTTGCACAAACTCTCCCAAGATCAAGGAACATACATCTGTAAAAATATGCTTGGGTTATTGAGACTTCCTTTAGATGAATTGTAAGCCTTTTGACTGAAATTTTCATGGCTTTGTAACACGTGCTGGAAAAGCAGAAAGCAAAATACTTCTGAGAAGTAATCCCAACTTCTTGTTACACATTGAAATTCATCATGCTGTGGCAGTGGTGGTGATCTGCAGGCTCTCTCACCCCAAGATGATGTGATCCAGGTGGTGGCTGCCTCTCCCAAGAGTCCAGCAAGGGAATGGTGGCCCTTCCACTTCCAGCCCCCTCCTTTTCCTGCTGAAACCAGCCCCCAGCACTGGTGTGGGTGTTGCTGGATATTCCACGCTAAAGCTTCACCTCCTTTTTCTGTAACTGTAACGCTCAGACGCAGACACCTCTGGGAGGCAGGTTTTGGCACTTGGAAAAATGAGGGATTTGGCCAGATCGTCAAGAGAAAAGCATTTGGTTCTGAATTGTGCTTTATCCCACTAGCCTGTGTTTCTGTTGCCTATTCAGTGGCCCAGGAGCTCATAAGCAGAACAAGCTTTTTGAAGTCCTCTTCCATGTGCCTTTAGGATGTCTAGTAGGTACTTGTAAAAATAATTCTCATACCCCATACTGATGTATGGTTAGAGCAGAGGTATTTGTTCTGTCTTTGATAGGAGCATGACTGAGAGGAGAGGCATGTATGGCCCACGGGGAAATTTTAGGCTTGCTGCAAGGTTTCATTATCTGCTGAAAGGTGTTGGGAAAGCACGTGATTAATACTTTTAGAGAAGGGTTTGAGAGGGACAGTTGCTGAAGATAGTCTATGTGTGTGGGGGAGTGTGTATTTTATGTATCAGTGTGTGTTTGTAAGGAAGAGGCAGAAAGTCTGAAATTTTTATTGTAGCTAACAAGGGTGAACTTGTTTAGAAGCTTTTTTTTTTTTCTCTGAAGCTTTTTGTCTGAATTTAGCAAACATCTTTAAAAGGCAGGTGCAATTATCTGAGAATACCACTCCCATTCAATCAGTGCTGTTTAGGAACAAAAAAGTAGCTTGGAGGTTGGGAAAAATACACTTAGAAGAGAGAGAAGTGAATGCTTGTCAATTCCATCAGACCAAAATTTGATAAAGGCCTTTGATACTTGATTACTTAAGAAAACTTTTTGAAGTTAACCATGCTCACTTGCTCAAAATGTACAAGGATGCAGCTGGCAATTTTTTGTCATACAAATAATTGAATACTGTTTGATTGATTAATTAAAGCTGCCTTGGGTCATGTAATTATTTTTGGTAAAATGGCAATGTGCATCTAATATATTACAAATGTAGTTAAATAGATTATTTGTTAATCAAAAATTAAAGCAGAGGGAATTTATTTTCCTTGAATTATTTGACACCACAAAACTTGTGGGATAGAGATGTACTGGTTCCATGAACTGGAAAGTTTGAAAGTTGCATTGGATGCTTTTGTTTATCTCCATCCTTCTTATTTTTGTAGGAAATTCCACTTATCTGGATGACCACGGACCACCCCCTCAAAAGGTAAGCTGCTGTTATTTTGTATTTGCTTTATCCTTACTTAGTTGGCTTTTGTTTCTGACTCATTGTACGTTTACTTGTGTGCCAAGCAACTCTTCTGAGTTTACATCAACAGCGTGTGGCCTTTCCCACTTTTTACCCCCCAGGTGTTTTCAGATGTTTGTAAGTAACTTGGGTTAAAATGCATTAAGCTAATGGAATTTTTCTCATTGAGTCAAGGGAGACAGGGATTTAGTGGTTTTATTCTGTCAGCACTTTCATGCAAAAAACCAAGACACCACAGTTGTAACTCATCTGGCAGGTGAAGATGGCCTTTGGCTGGCAGCATTTTCTGGAACTTGGGTTCTGCTGCAAAAACAATACTTGAAGCGGGTCAGTAGGATAAATTTAATGAATGTGAGTCATGAGCCCTTATTTAGGAATAAGGTTCACTGTTCCTATCATATGGGACTGTGCTGCATAAGCTTTCCCCCTATGTCATCATGGCACCTCATGACATTTCAGGTTAGGAAGGGCACTGTGATAGTTTCTTCAAGGGGAAAAAAGTGGAAATAGGCATTTAGGGTCTCCTGATTTGTTTTTCTTTGTTTTACCCTGTGTTGGTTTGTTCTCTAAACAGATTTGTTACTATATTATGCCTGTCTTTCCAGCCTGTTAGAGTTCCTTTTGCACAGTGCAGACCTGTACTGAAAGGGCAGATTGTCTCACTTTTGTGGCCCACCATGGATGCTAGTGCAGCAGGTGACAGTGAGTAGTTAGAGAGGGGATGGGTGTGAGTAGCCACTGCCTCTGGTGGTAGCCCTCCCTCATCTCTGTTCAGCTGACCATGAAGTCACATCCTGAGCCACAGGCCTTGAGTTGAAGTGATCAACCACATGTGTGCACCTGTGTGGTGAAACAGTTGGCTTCTGATCAGCAGGAGGAGGAGAATGTGGAAAGCAATTCCACTTAGCTTAGTTATTAGTGAAAACAAGAATCTGGGTTTCTTCTCCTCTTTTCTGAGCAACAAAATCTGCAATTTTCAACTGATATGTGAGTATTTGTACTTGTTAAGTTCAGATGGCCCACTTGGAGGAATGATGTACATTTGATTTTCTTACTGTCAACAAAAATTGCTCAATTACAGAAGTAAATGGATGTAGACAGAAGTGACAAAATCAACCTGTTGTGTTTATCATTGCAATCTGAGATAGGACACAGGTATTCTAAGGCTCAACAAATGTTTCACACTAAAATCTGTTTAGTGCTCTCTGCTTCTTTTAAAATACTATTTTCTTTTTTAATTTAGTACCAGCTGCTTCTCTTGTCCAGGAGTACAGCAGGCTGCATGAAATAAAGAATTATGTTTGTTGTGTCTCCACAGTGAGCACTCTGCCTCGAAGACTAAAGCAATGCTTATTCCAAACCTGTATTTCTCATGCTTGCATTAGCATTCAGAAATGATAAGCTGTTCTCGTAAGGAAAAGGCTTCCATCTAGATAAGAATTTTTAACCTTGAAAACTTTATTCAGATTTTGGTACTTTTTCTTCAGGAATTTTGCATTACTCGTTAATGGTGCTGTGGATAGGATCCATACTCCCATGGGCAGTAGCAATTGGACAGATTTATCCAACCCAGACACTTTTCTGTTTACACTGTGAAAATATCTTTTGCCTGTCTAAACATGTAATTTTGGGCCATGTTCACACAGCCTCATCCAGCTGCAGCTCAGTTGTCTGTAGAAAGGCCAGCTGAATAGATAGCTACACATTGATTGGTAGGGTAGATACTCTTGATTAGCTACCTACAGTCAGTAAAGTTTGTGGCCTTCCTCTGTAGTCATCCTCACTCCTGGAAACTTAATGAAAAGCTCAGCAGAGTAACAGGCTATATAGGATTGTGTAAGTTAAAAGTATTTTTGCTTTTTGAAGTATTTGCCTATGTTTCAAAAACATTGATAAAATATGGATCGTTTTGATCATCCCTTGGACAAACCTGCTTATTCTTTAGTCGCTTGCTTTTTTTGTTTTGTTTTTTTATTCCTCTGATCAAAATATGGGTGGGGATTGATAGATCCCCAGATAATTCCTGGTATTTGCTTGGGGTCATGTTTTGAACTAAGATGCTCTTGCTTTGTAAATCTCATGCATTGCATTTTTTGGCTGAGTGCAGTTATTTATCCTCTTACAGCTTCATATCTGAACTGTGAACTCTGTGGGTGTGAATGAAATTCACTGTAATTGTCATTATCTTTCAAGTAGCCTCCATTCACATGACTTGATAGCTGCCTTTGTTTAAACTAACAGATGGTTAAGGTCTGTGCATGCTTTAATTCAACATACAAGAAGGCATCAGAAGAAATCAATCCTGACTCCAACATTTAAAATACTTGATTATAAAATGCTGAAATGCTAGAAGTGGAGATAATGAACAACAGTGCATTGCCTGAGGTTGAAATGACTGGTAGCTAATATGGGCAGTGTGTAGTTAGCTGTAGAGGAAGGCCACCAGCAGTTGATACGCACTGGACCGTAGCTGTTTTGCAGAGTACATTCCAGTGTTTGTAGGAAATCATATTAGTTTTGGCTCTTTGTCATGGCTAGGTGCCAGAGGTTTGGATTTTTTTAAATACCCGTGTGGGGTTTTTTTTCCCCAGTGGAAGAGCTGAAAATAGCACTTGTTCTCTGAATAAGGAATTAGCATCATCACATTCCAGGAGAACAGGGTACTGGTCTGTGTTTTTCAGATAAAGGTGGCAGCAGCAATTTTCTCAGTGCAAGCAAAGAATGAAAGCCTGGCTCACTTTTGTTCCTAAGCATTGCTGGTGTGGTTCTGATTCTTCTTGAAGACCAGGTGAGACAGCTTTTATGGTGTTCCCCAGTAAAGGTTTACTTGACTGTTGAAGATGAGCAGTGGTTATCCTTGCCAGTGATATGGAGGTAATGTGTCTAGGTGTGGTGGTTTGATCCTGGCAGGAGGCCAGGCACCCACCAAACCCTCCCTGTCTCTCCCATCCTCAGCTAGACAGGAGAGAGAAAATACAGCAGAAGGCTCATGAGCTAAGGACAAGCAGACATCACTCACCAATTATAGTCACAGGCAAAACATTCACCTTGGAGAACTTAATTGAATTTGCTGCCAATCAAAATCAGAGTAGGATAATGAGAAGTAAATCAAATCTTAAAACACCTTTCCCCTACCTCTCCTCCCTTCCAAGCTTAACTTTATTCCCAATTTCCTACCTCTTTCCCACCAGCAGCGCAGAGAGACAGGGAGTGGGGATTAGAAACATGTTGTTTCTGCCTCTGCTTCCTCCTCAGGGAGAGGAGGCCTTCTCCCTCTCCAGTGCACAATCCCTCCCGTGGGAGACTGTTCTCCACGAACTTCTCCAGTGTGAGTCCTTGCCACAGTCTTCAGTTCTTCATGAACTGTTCAAATGTGTATTCCTTCCACAGGGTGCAGTTCTTCAGAAGCAGACTGATCCAGCCAGCATGGGTCCCCCATGGAGTCACTGAGTCCTGCTGAGAAAACCTTTCTTCTCTCCATGAGTCAACATGTCCTTCCAGGAACCTCCATGGGTTACAGGTGGACCTGTGCTCCTCTGTGGACCTCCATGGGCTCCAGGGGCACAGCTGCTTCCCCATGGTCTTCACAATGGGCTACGGGGGAATCTCATCTTGGGCATGTGGAGCATCTCCTCCCCCTCTTTCTTCATGTACCTGGGTGACTGCAGGGCTGTTCCTCTCACACATTCTCATGCCTCTTTTCTCTGGCCACAAATTACTTCTGCACAATAACATTTTTTCCTTCTTAAAAATATGTTATCTCAGAGACAGTACTACCATTCCTGATTGGCTTGGCCTTGGCCAGCAGTGGGTCCATCTAGGAGGCAGCTGGTGTTGGTTTCATTGGACATGGGAGAAACTTCTGGCAGCTTCTCATAGAAGCCACTCCTGCAGTCCCCTCAGTAGTAGCAGAACTTTGCCATGTATACCCAATGCACAAACATGGGCCACTCTTCTTTGGTCCTTAGGCACCAAAGACTTCAGAAGATGGACTAATCCTAGGCTGTTCATGAGTTCCGAGACAGATCTCTGTGTAGATGCTTCTCTGCAGGTAGATGCAACCTCCAGTAGCCCTAGCATACCTCTGGTGTTTCTGGTGTTAGTATGGGACAGATAGAAAAGGAATGCATTTGGGCAAAACAGCCACTGCTGATGGTTCTACACTGCCAGTGAAAGTTGACTCTTTCCTATTTCAAATCTCTTTCTCACTTCCTCCTGGCTTTTTCTTTTTTTAGATAAGTTTCTGAAAGCATAAATTTTACAAAGTTTGCTAAGTGATAATTTGTTTATCCTTTTTCTGTAGATTGATGTTTAAGTGAGGCCTTGGTTTTCAAAAACACCTTTGAAATGGATGTGCATTAATGGCTGATGGTGTTCACTGGATGTATTTCATGTCTGAGCATTTCTGGAAATAAAGTGGGTGTATTTTGTTCCAGTATTTTAGACCAGCCATTTCCTTATCAGATCCTCCCGAGATTTTTTTGTTCCATCCAAGATGGTGAAACTGGCCTTGGAGGACAAATGATATGAACTTTATCAGACCTACAGTTGTTCTTGATTGAAAGCTTTTCCCTGAGAACTTGGCAAGAGCATCAAGATATGTCCCTGTTTCAGCAGAAATGACATATATATTTGTGGGGGAGCTGTGCACATAGCACACAGATAAATTACACTGAAGTAGTCTATTCTCCTTTTCTTGATGGTTTTCCCTTGGGTTGCCTGTCATGGACCCAGTATATCTTTTGGCAGCTGCTTAGGTGTCAGCAAGACACTATGCTTAGCATGTGTGACAGTGCTTCAAAGCTTTAAATGAATACAAAAATGGATTCGGGTCAGGATCAGGTCAAAATGAATCTAAATAGGAGGCATACACAAAATAAATTTTATCTGATTTTATTGGTTTAAAGCTGGAAAGTGGATAAGTATTCTTTTCACCATTCTTTCAGTTCTTAGCTAGT